AAACTCCAGAAAGCTGCCTCGAGAGACCAGCTATGACGATGTTAAAAAGTAAAGGTGATAGAAGAGATCCCTGCGGGGCGCCCCTATTTCCCAGTACTTGCACATCCGATTCTTGATCTCCAACTTTAAGTATGGCTTTTCGACCACTCGGGAAGGATCTGACAAACGCATGAAATGAGGAACCTAGGTTGAGACTAGAGATCGCATCCGAAATAGAATCATGACGGACATTATTGAACGCTTTGTTTTATATCCAAGTGTAGGATCTCCCTGGTGTCTCTGGTATGATTATCTAATATTTGAGTCTTAATGATTTTCATAGCATCCTGTGTAGATAGACCTGGCCTTAAGACAATTAGGTAATGAGGAAAGGGATCATCAAGCTCTATGTAATCCGCCATTCGGTTCTGGATAACGTGTTTCGCCACCTTTCCCACGCATGACGTGAGAAAGATGGGGCGCAGATTATCCAAACTTGGTGCTTTAGCGGGCTTGGAAATGAGGATCATCTTGGCCAACTTCCATTGCTCCGGGATGTCACCTCCCTTCCAAATCCTATCAATCACATCAGTAAGAAATTCAACAGAGTCTTCTTCCAAGTTCCGAAGCCCTTTGTTGGTGACCCTATCCAGACCCGGTGCCGATCGGCCATTGAGTTCATTCAGGGCACGTCGCACATCGCTGATGGCGAAGGATTCAACCAAATGGGCACAATGTGTTCCCATATACCCCGGATAGGCTTGCATGTTGGAATCGACTGCTAGTGGTAGATACATCTTAGCAAGCTGCCCTAATAGCTCTGCGCCCGAGGAGGATTTTTGACCAAGATGGAGTATTCTAGCGAAGACCCCCCTCTGACTATATTTAATGCCCGACTCGTCAAGTAGGTGTTTTAAAAGATTCCATTTACCTCTGGTTCACATTTGTCCATCGACTGAGTTGCACATTTTATCCCACTGCGGCCTCGACAAGTTTCGGCAATGTTCTTCAATTTGTGTATTTAACTCCGCAATCTTTTTCCGAAGCTTACAATTAAGCGTCTGGTCCTTCCATCTGGCCAATAGCGACTGCTTTGCCTCCAGTAAATGCGCAAGCCGACTGTCTGTCTGTACCTCTGTCTCAACAGTCCTGGTAACCGCCCTAATATCCTGCAGCAGCATCTTCGTCCATTGCTCCAGAGAGTCTGGGATTTCCCCCTATTTCACTCGAGCCCTGCGTGTCTCTGAAACTTATCCCAATCCACGTAAGTAAACTTTCTTTTAGATTTTGCTTCCATCTGCAATTTAGTAACTGTAATATAATGATCACTTCCTAAATCCCTTGAAAGATTTTCCCAACCTACCGAGCCAGCATATTTCACGAAAACTAGGTCCGGGGTGGAGTCCCTGGTGGTGGATCTGCCGTATCTAGTAGAAAACGCCGGGTCTGTTATTAATGAGAGATCCGCATCTCCCGTCTCCTGCCACAAGCTCCTACATCTCCCGCCTCCTACACAAGCTCCTAACAGAATCATACGGGTAGTTTCATGCCCGGAAAGGCGCGTTAAAATACCCCGCCACAACCACAGGGGAGAGCCCAGCCAATCTAATTGCCTTAGCTATGATTGTCTTGAAACGCTGCCTATGATCACTAGGCCTACTATATATATATATATATTCAATATGAGAATACTGGAAATGTTGGAAGCACTCGGAATGACCTCACTCAAGGAGAGCTCTGTTTTTTTTAGGCCTTATTCCTAGATGATGTGTCACAAAGGTGAACTTGTTGCTGACTAACGCGGCGATCCCTCTGCCTTCCCCTTTAACTGTATGAGCCTTGTACCCCGGGAGAGTTACATTATCAGACAGCGTCTCCTGCAGTAGGATCACATGCGGCTTCTCGCAGTGAGAGCGGGCAAATTGCTGCAGGGTGCCCCCTTTTGCTATGGATCCCCCTGCAGTTGCATTGTCATATATGAAAATCAGCGTGCGAGGCCATCTTGATTACTGGTTGTGTTCCCTGACCCTACTGTCAGGTTCTGTACAGAAGCAGCTGTACTATTCGAACTGGGGATACTCGTGGGAATGGGCGCCGATAAAGGGGTTCCCTCTGGAAAGAAATCCAGGTGAATCCTAGTTGCTCCCTTTATATTGGGGCTCTGCACCATAAGGCCGGCGTTCTGTAATTAAGTCTCCACACATTGGATTCTGGCATGTTAAATATCTATTTTCTGATCCATTACTGTGAGACGTTGATCTACCGCCGAAAAACGCTCATTAGGCCTTTGAATCTCAAGGCAAATTGAATTTAAAGTCTCTTTAATTTCAGATTTAGCTTTGGCCTGCACATTCTCGGCTGATGTCGCAGCCTTACGCAAGGCTGGGTTGCCCGAGGGGCCCGCTTACACGACCATGGGAACGTGCGTGGGTTGAGGAGAGGGGAACCTACCAACTGAGAAGCAGATGCCCGAGTAGCTTGAGATGTACTGGCATGTCTAAGCTCAGCCATTTCGGCTCTCAGCGACTCAATAATGCTGCGCATTTGGGCATTCTCCTTCCTAAGGTAATTTAGCTCTGCTAGACCATGCTCTGGCGCAGTGCCCCCTGTTACCTTTCCACCTTCTCTACTGCGCACCCGGTCAGCCCAGGTGCCACCCTGCATCTCCGGTGGGTCCCTGGATCGGCTCCTCGAGTGCGGCGGGCCTCTAGATTGGGACCGACGACGATCTCTGGACTGGGACTTGGCTCAGCTTTTAGACGCCGTTCCATTTCGCTGGCCTCGGGAGCGACTTCTTGACAGAGATCTAGATCTGGACTGGCTGCTTGCTCGTTGCGATGATTCATGGCTGTCCACCCTAGTTGAAGCAGAACGACTCCTTGAACGGGAGTTGCAGTGTGCAGGCTGGCTCACACCCTCGTCGGCGTTAGCAGGTACCCTTTGCCGACTATGACGTTCAGATTCCGCGCGCCGCTCTCTTTTCTGCCTTCGCACAATAAAAAGAAGCTGAAACCTTTGCTGGCAACTTTTATCAGTCGTGGGGTGTGCGCCACCACAGAATCCACAGGTCGGGGAACATTGATGGTTTTCATCGGGGTTGTTGATTCCACACCTCTTGCACACAGTTTTGTCCGGAGTCGCACAGACATCCGCCCTGTGCCTCAGTCTGCCACAGGCATAGCAGCAGTCATGATGCCGATGGTAAAGGCAGCATCTGACCAGTGCCATGCCGAAAAAATTAAGTTGGAAACTTTGTAGCCATCGAAGACAATAACCACCGTTTCAGTGTTCTTAATATGTCTCACTTTCAGAGCCGAGGGGTTTCTTTCAGTAAGGATGCTCCTCTCCGTCTGGCTCTACGATGCGTCAATGTTACGGATGACCCCCTTGCATGTCTCATGCGGGGCAGTCTCATAAGTGTTGATGTCATACTTCTTCATTCCCAATGGCAGCTCATCCTGAGGTAGGAGTCGGCGTTCGCCCGGGCGCCGTGCTAATAGGTAACTATAATATTTCGCGTTGCATTCGGGCAGACAATATCCTGACTGAAGAGCGTGGGTGCAATTCCAGCCACCTCTGCGATTGCCCGGCCAAGTCTAGCTGAGCCCGCCTTCTCAACATCCAAGCCAGCCCTTGGACGAACGATAATCTTCCAGTGCTCGCTCGGCAGTCGAGGCATTCTCGATCATTTGATAACTATTCTTCAAGCTTAGAGCTTTTCTTGTAGCACTGAAATGGCCCCTGGCGTTCCCGTCGCACGCCGTGGCACGCTCTGTAGCACTGGCGTTCGTGCGCCTCGAGCTTTTCTTCACCGCGGCGGAGCGCCAGCCGTGTTCTTCTCCAAACTCTTCCAGAGGGAGGTCATCGTCGTCCATAATAACAGCCGCGCCGTCCAGCATATTGGCTCAGCGAAGGGCGCGTCTTGCCCGGCAGGCGCCAACTCAGCGTTGTGGTTGTTCGCCCAAGCACGCAAGGCGTAGTCGGTGGCGTATAAGTTCGAAAAATGCTCAAAAATGGACCTAGTGGTGAAAGTCCGCTAGGGACCTGAACCTTGGCAGCTTATGTGTCGACTTGTAGCAAGATCTTGAGGCACAGCACACGAAAAACCACTAAAATCATTTGCTGAAGCGGGAGGCCAAAGACCCCCGACTGCTCTGCTCTATGCCACCTGGCGTCCCGAAATAAAGGTACATTGTTCTTCATTATTTTGCTAGTTTTTTGCCTTCCAACGGCCGTTCTTCTCTGCGTGGTGGACTGCTGTGATATTCGATATTGAGTACATTCTCTCTTGCTGGCTAATTGTCGATAGAAATGGATAATGGCTATAACGAACTAATGGTTATATTGAAGTAATTACGACTACCCTTCAATTTCGTTATAGCGAGGTTTGACTGTATACCTATGCCAAAGTGCTCCTAATAGTAAGATTACCTGCTCCAGAGCTAAATTTTTTGACTCCAATAGTAAGATTACCTGCTCCAAAATGCTCCAAAAGTAAAATTTTAGTGCACCAAGATGCTTCAAAATGCTCCGAAACTAAAATTTTACTGCTCTGAAGTGCTCCAAAGCTGCAATTTTACTGCTCCAAACATTGCTCCAAATCGGCAGTCCCCAGTGAAATCACTGGTTTTATGAAGATTTTCTACTTTACGACTTCTGCTACGCCTAGTTTTGCGATGATTTTATCGTCGTTAGAAGTGAATGCATGATTCAGAAGAGTGAAGACAGCTGTATGCTCTGTAGTGTTTATGTTCCTCTGGCTGTTTGCATCCAGCAATGATCGATGGGGGAGGGGGGGAAGAATGCAAAAAATCCTGCGTGCTTTTATTTAGCTGCACGCTTTGAAAAGAACCCTTTATGAAATAATGCTGTGGGCATCACACCGCTATGTGCTTTGGTGTAGCACAGGTTTATTTATAACGAAAACATAGTTGGAAAATGCCCTGGCAATGGCTAACTGTTGACAAATTTGTATACTATATGTATTGAAACCTGTTTATGTGTTGCTGTTTTTGTGACAGCTCTCATTGTTGCGACAGCAGTGGTGCTGTTCCTGATATTACTCTGGCAAGCAGTGGCCTGTTTCAAGAGGTAAGTCTAGCTCTCATTGTTGCGACAGCAGTGGTGCTGTTCCTGATATTACTCTGGCAAGCAGTGGCCTGTTTCAAGAGGTAAGTCTGATGTGCTTCTGAAGAGTGCATGTGGTTAGGGAAACTCGTTTGTGTTGCTTTGACTTCTCTCATCTGTCCATGTTTGCACACCCTGTCTTTTTAACATGTATTTCAGCGTATTAAACAGTACCTATTGATATATGCGAGATACAGGTGTAAACATACACATATTTGTACAGGTGTGGTCTATATGACTTGCAACACAGGAGCGCATGGCCTTGCGAGTTCAAAGGTTGCACATTGCTTCAGCTTGTTTTTATTTCAACAGCTAAATGTTATTTTTTTATTTGGGATCACACCCAAGTAAGAGTAATGCATTGAGTTATGGAAGTAAGGGCTAGTGAAAGCCATGCCCTATCATTTAACTTGTGAGGCAATGCACTTCAGTGTTGCAAATGATATTAAGCGCGACTGTACAAACTCACATGTGTTTTTTTTTTTTTGTTGTATTACACTTGTTCCTCCAATTAAGACCTGCAGCATGGGTAGTGTGCCTTGTTATCAACTTGCAGGGTGAGGGGTCTACTGTTCTTGTTTCGAACGTAGCACTTTCAAGCCTGTCATTGCCCTCCCAGATCAGTGCACAAAATCTTGGGTGTCATGATAGTAACATACAGGGACTTGTGTGAGTGATGTGTCAGGTATGGTCCTAGAACTACCGATGCATCAAAATATGTTTGTGTTTTGTTTTTTTATTAAAAGTTCAGTTCTAGATGGAGGTATTCCGTGTCAACCGCGATCTGAGTATCGCGGGTGTGCTGAGGGAATGCTGATAGTTTTGTTCACCATATGCTTTCCTAAATGCGCCTAACGCACGTCACACGTGCAGTCTGCCTGGGTAGAAATGCGGCTGCTGGGACTGTTCCTCGATCACCTTGTCCTTACTTGCTTGTTAGAAAAAATCCCGACAGAGTGCTAAGAAAACATTACTACTACCAGGGTGACATGCGAAAAATGGTATTTTTAGAATGCTGCGAGTGTTTGCTTAAGCAGTATGCTACAGTAAATGTTTTTTGATATAATTACAGTGGTCCTCGACCACATAGCATGAAAGCTTTCTTTTTACCATCCGGAGAAGTGCCACAGAGAAGGCCAGGTTTGTGTTGGGATTGCATGAAGTATGAAAGGCTGAGTATACCTGTAAGCTGAAGTCCTTTGTGATGACTGAGATGCGCGGCTTGTAAAAAAAAAGTAGGTCCCGTTCGTCACCTTTTGGTGAGTACAGAAGTGGTGATGATCAGATTAAGAGCAGTGGTGATTTTCTCTTTTTTCGTGCAATGTGGCACAGTTGTGACCAGGACAAATGCTTTGCCAAAAGCTTGCATAGTGTAACTGATTCTATGTGACTACTGATGCACATTAACACTGATGGAAGTATGAACATAAACTAATGAGGAAAGCTGCAGGACTGGTGCCTGCTTGAATCTCTTTATGGCAGCCTTTGAGGGCGCATGATAGGTTAAATGCGTTATCATGTTTTAGCCTCATATCTGATAAACTGATCCCTATTGTATTGTAAAATTTTGTTTGTTGATTAACAATGCCTTACGTCTTCTCATTGGGCAATTTTTTTCTTGCAGCCTTTTTTAGATTGTTTTTATTTGAGAACCAAATTTTATATTGGAGTGTAAAATGTGATGTAGCTATTCTCAGAAACAAAAAGTAGCGTGACTATAAAATTTTGCTTGCTAATTCTACATCATGCAGGCTTTAATCCCTGCAAAAAAGAAATCTTGCTAGAAAATAAATATTGCCCTCATTTATCACTTATTGTTAAACAAACCTTGCAATAAATGTTTTTTTTTAATTAATGTTTACAGTTTCAAGTTCAGTCTAGTAAAGGACTTCGGTATAACCTAGGAAAACTTGCAGTGTAATGGTTTGGATTGTTTTTGAGAAAAGGCACATCTATGTTCAAAATTTTCAAAAACGTGATGTTTAGAAAAACTCCATTTTCTCAAGCACACACAAATGCTCGCGACAAAAACCAATGACTACGCCACAGAACACATCCCTGGTGTGAAAATTTCCAATACCTACTGATGAAAATGGTTTATTATGACTATCTAGCCATTATTATTATAAAGAAAACAAAACGTGCATGCCAAAATTATGATGGAAAACAGCATGTAGACGTGCGCTTGTACCCGTCAGCAGGTGTGGTTTTTAGCACCATTTTTAAATGTTCAAGTGCTCCTATGCGCTCACTACTAACTGCGTAGTTTTATTCTTTACATTGTGTGTTATTTCTTAGTAATGAAAAGAAAAGTTGTAGTAATGCTCGATCTTCCCTACCCTACCGCCTTAATTAAAGCATGCAAGTCAGTAATGAAGGCAACTGGTTTTCAGTGGTTCGGGCGTAGTCTCAGCATATCGCTTCCGAGATTGTTCAGCATACTGCAAGGTGTGTCCGAGCTAGTTGCTGTGCGAAGTTATTCCATCACTTGCAGTGAATGCCATTGGCACGATTTCTAGTCTTCGTGCTAGAAATGCTTGTGTTTTCAAGCAATCGTTATCAAGGAGGCCTCTTTGTATTTGAATGTTCTCAAAGAATGTGGTTGGAGTTGGACACTTAAGAAATTCAGCACTATTTTCGGCTGTGTTTAGGTGAGCTAACAGGTATCCAACATTTTTTTCTTTAATGTCATATTTTTTTTGCTGCAGGCTGTGTTCAGCTTTTGTTTCCGTCAACACGGTCCCCTCGGACTCTCAGGTAGGAACTGATTAATTAAGAAAAGATCCACAACAGAGATTTCTCGAGCAGGGCAAAAGGATTAAGCAGCCATATTAGGAATTATTTCCCGCATTGCTTTAACTAATTATCCGGAGCCCTTCTCTGCGGCATATTTCGTAATAACATTGGGGTTTTGGGACATAAAATCCCACATATTATTGGCATTGCTTTAATTTTCTCAGTCAATATGAAAGCTGTATTAGAGAGACAGCCAAAGAGTCCAGTGGAATACAGTGCTTAATTGGGCTAATTTGTTGAGTTTTCAACTATGTTTGCCCTGCTTCTTTCTTTTTCAAGCTTGTTGAGATTGTGGTTAATGTGTGCTTGTCGCGAGCATTGTACTCTTCTTTAGCTGACGCGGCCAGTTATAGGAGCGGTTGTGGCATTTGAAATGCCCAGTAATGTAACCCTGAAAGGAGAAATGCAGGGTAATACCATATTCTGTGCATGTTGGCACAGATTATGATTGGGTTCTTTTGTAAATCAAGAGACTCGAAGGTCTCTTGGTTTACAAAAGGAACCTTTTAGACAACTGAGTGCATATGTACATGTACTTAGAGTGGCAGAAAGACACGTACTTAGTGTCAATCGACCAAATATTTGGTGTAGATAGCACATTGCCCTTTTACCAAGTTGTACATTTGTATCTTGCTCCTTGTGCTACAGCTTTTGTAGCGCCTCTGAACTTTTTGTATGTCACATGGGTCTCCCACAATAGTAACAAAAAGCTTTAAATGACCCCTGACAGCGAAGTTTTCGATTGTGACTTTTGGGTTTTAAAGAAAGATGCGATTTGGAAAAAAAAAGTTGTGTTAATCGCTAACCTAGGGCAAGAAAATTTTTGTTGTAGATATATAGGATTTTATGCCGACTTCAAATATGTAATTAGTTTTATAGTGAGTCATGTAGTTTTAGTTTTATGCCATGACAATGTGTAACCAATAGTTGGTTTCGGACAAACTTTTTATGCCACTAAACATTTATGGTTCTCAGCTAATAATGGCTCATATTGCTGTATATTAACTGTAATATGCAAGTAACTATCAAGAAAGTACATATATGACATTGTAATAGACAAGAAAAATCGTAATGTGAAAATGTTTGAATCCTCAGTCCATACTAATTGATCATTTTATGTTTGTAAGATTTGCAATAATTATGCAAGTGATATCAAATTTTAAGAAAGATACTAGCACCCTTCACATGTTAAGGGATACGTATGCAAAATTTCATCCTTTTTGGGCTACCAAAAATACCAAAAACCGGATGTCTAAACTGAAGAAGTTGCCCAAAAGTGGATCTTCAAGAAGACTCATTTTAAAGGTGTAAGTGAAAGATGATGTATGTGAAAGAGATATGTTTTTTAGATGATTTCTTCTATCATGATAGTTTGGCAGTTATGGTTATTGAGCATGTGGCTGTGGTAAACTTCTCTTGCGAAATGCAATGGTAAGTAGGTAGGTGAAAATTTCCCAGGGACTTTATAAAATAAGCTCCTTTCAGTTTTCAGTGGCTACTCTGAGCTCTTCGAAAGTGGTTTTAACCTCCTTCGAGTTTATTTGCAATCCTCGGGTTTTTTTGTCATGAAAGTGGAGAAACTATACTTGTTAAAGCAATTAAAAACCAAAAATTTGGTTTTTGGAAAAAAAGTTGCATTTTTTTTTACTCTCATCTTTTCTTAATGAGTCTGTCTGTGTGTAACCCTGAAATTGAAGTGCAAGTACTCCAAGACGACATATAATTTGTACTAGCATTGTTAATTTTGAATTTTAGAATCATTTCAAGATGCTGGCCAAGATGTAGTTTTTTTTATTTGAAAGACCGCCCCTCATGTAACATGTTTGGTTGATTATCACGAAGGTTGCATCAAATGTAAACAAACAAGTTGAACTTGTGCATAAAATCTAGTAAGGATTGGTGGAATGGTTTTTGTGTCCACCTTCGTAAGTCTGGGAGGTGAACAGGACAGTGACCAGTTGCTTTGCCCACAGCCATGAAGTGCCATAAGATCTTGTGCGCTAGATCGTTGGCGACTTGGAGAGCGTGGTTTTTAAATCGGGGCTTTGCTTGCAGGAAGGAACGAAGCAACAGGGAAAGATGCTGTGGTCAGAGTGTAACACACCAAACATAATCTCTAACCAAATATCATAAGATGACATCTAGTACACCCACTTTACAGTCAAGTACACCCACTTTGCAGTACACTTTCAGTACACCCACTTAACAGTCAAGAGTGTGGCTGCCAGAAAAATAGTACATGTATTCTGGACCATGTTACTCTCTGTGACACTAGAAGTCTTCTGCACAGTTGATGTATATTTAAGCTCTACTTTCTGGGACCACCCTCACAATCAGCTGCAGTTTGAGAGGCATGCATTAAAAAGTGCCTCGACGTTTCCAGTTGATTGTATTGTTCCCCTTTGCTGAAGCCTTCTGCAGTTCGCATGGGCCTGCGGGATAGGCTGACCTCTGACCACGTCATTATGCCGCGTGGTCACGCTGCACTGTCGCGAATTATGGCGATTTGTGACATCATGGCATGCTGTTTCCTATTCTCTGACTTGGAAAAGTCATGCATGCCGTGTTTACCACGCAGCGAGACCTTTAACAAAGCCCTTCTTCTGGCACTGTTCAGGATGCCACAGCCAGCACCACCTAGAGAGCAGATTGGGGGTCAAAAGCCTTCACATTGTGCCAGTCTTGTGGGCACGCATTATGCTTGCCTCACCATTAAGCTGACAATTGGTACGCTGGGAATGAGCGAAATATTACAGGGAGCCTGGGCAGCCACTGAATGCGTCGTACCAATGATAGTGTCATGTTTACTTTTAAAAATGTCAAGATGTGTTCAAAGCTGTATTGGCCATTAAAACCCAATCTGAGGTACTTATGTATGTTTGCTGCGGCAGTCGCTTTTTGTACAAAAGGCTGTGATGTCTTCTTGGATCGCAAGGGCAACAGATATGATTTCAAACAATGCCTCAAAACATATACTATTACTTTTAAGTCACCCTGCTGCCTAGTACTGCTTGTTTTATGCACACTGCTCCAGTGCACATTGGATTTGATTTTTTGTGGAGTCTTTACTGTACATATATAGATTTCAAGCATGTTCAGTGCAGAAAAATGTGCCAGAGTGAAACACCATTGTGAGACCTGTCATGATGAAAAAAATGGCTGTACTACTGAACAGCAAAAACAAGATATCTAAAGGGGCCCTCGTAACGCTGTTGAAGCACCCATATTTTCCCTGTGGTTTGCATAGATAAGTAGCTGGAGATAGTTTTAGCATAGGGTTAAGTGCCAATATCAAATGATGTAGTATTTTAATCACGAAATAACGTCACTACATCACTGCCGACCGCATTACCACGTAGCGGCGCTCGCCAGAATTTTGGGGGCGGAAATGGTGCCTGAAGGTTGCTGCCATATCATTGGATAAATGTAACGTTAGAGGCGATCGTGGTGTAGGATCAAAACCGAGGTTACTAATCTATTTGATTTTTCTTCACTGTGCTTTTTATCGAACCCTGAACAGACGTGGCCACAACGAAAAAAAAAAAAAACGATCACTGCGCCTACAAAGCATGGCAGGGGCACTGGCATTACACTTGTTACTGTGGCAACAAGATCAACATGATTTTAAAAAATTTTAAAAAGAAACGAGCAACGATGGGGTGCGAGCTTCCCCTATGTAGACGCTTTCAGCTTATTTCATTGGGGCAGCCTTCCGACCTCATGGGCAGGTGAAATGTGGTCTAGTGACTTCGCGGAAATCAAGTTGAGGGTCAGCATTTTTTTCTTGTATTTTGAATTTTCTAAGTCATATAACTTCATATTGCGTGCCGCTATGACTGCCGTTTTTGATGCATTAGTCTGTTTGTACTTCAGTCTACACAATGCACGAGTAAAACATGGGAGTTTGAATAGTGTTAGAGCGCCCCTTTAACTCTTTCATTACCACGCCTATTCAAATCGATTCCCAGTGATTGACGCTTCTGGATCATCGATTTTGGCATGTTCAATTTCTTTCTCGTGCATTCAGCACTTTCTAGTAGTTAGTTCAGCCACTCAACTTTCAGAATTTTTCTTAATTGGCCGACTTGGGCAACATAGCGATATTTTATAGACTTGCACGAACCAATGTGCATGTGTAGTTGGAAAAATGCACTATGTGGGCAAACTTGACAGAAGTGTGGGCCCCTCGTGATTATGCTACAGTAACATCAAAGTTCTGTAATGAAAAGAAACTTTGCAAGCCAAATATCGAATTTATGTGTTAGCTTCCAATTTGACCGAGTTTTGCTCTAATAATTGTCTGAAATTTATGCCAGCTAATCAATAGAGAGCTGTTGCTAGAAGTCAGGGAAAGTTAATTCTGCGAAAAAATATTTCCCAAGGTTCGCCGCATGTATAAAGTGTGCAGGTGGCTCTCACAGTTTGTTTACAGCCGTTTTGGTTTTGCTTGTATTGATATATCAGACACAGGCTCACATCTAGTGTCACTAGTCGCTCGCTCCTATTACACGGTCATCACGCGCACATGGGTGCGCATCGGCGCTACAACACACATGCGCTGCTTGAAACTGTCTTGCAAGCCGACTGTAATTTAGAGAGAATGGGCTGAGATTTCATGGATGACAGCACCTCAGCTTCAAGCTTTATGGCGACGATGTTTTCCGTCAGCCTGAGGCATGCGTAGCCGTTCATTGGTTTGTTTCGTTTACATCCTCAAGTTATCTGCTCCGCCGAAAGTGCATATAGCTTCTGACCTTTGTGCATAATCTTATAGTTACTCAGGTTACGTGCGTGGTCCACACATCGCTAGGGCACGGTGTAGTGGCGTTGGCTGCAGAGCTTCTCCCAACGGCAAGGAGGCCCCCGGAGCACATTTTAGCCCTGACTATGTAGCAGTGCGAAACATTTTTTAGAAATGTGAGCAATATTGTTCTTTTTTATTATATGTGTAAAAACGAAAA